TTAAAACATGGTTTAAAATCATAATATATGTTTATACTAAATTATATTTAATAATAATCATACTTCTAGGTTGCAAACACTTCATACTCGTATACATGCCATCTAGAAATTTTTGAAACACAATCGAATGTCATTATTGTTACCTGTAAACATTTCTTAGTGATTGATGCCAAACTCAGCTCACTACTCCTTTCTCTTTAATTTACCTACAAGTGAAAATCATCACACACTAAGTATACACTTAGAGAGGCATAAGAAGAGTAAGTAAAACATTTTAAAACATAAGTAAGCCATAAAAGATCAAATCGTATAATATATATATATATATATAAACGTATAAAAATGACTTGATAAGCTAAATTTCCATCACATAACATGTGAAACATTATTTCATATGTAGCATACTTATCAATATGTCTATTGAAATATGTCCATTCATAGCCAAATGTATGACAGATGAGAACGCAAGGTACATAAACTGCACATAAGTGCTAAACGAAAGTATAGGTAACGTAGTAACATCAACACTAATATATCAAAATCGTAATTCACAAACTCATTATGAACACCATCAATGCACACATAATGCCGAAAGTACACAAAGGTACTAATGCGAAAAATGCAACAAATGCATTAAGCAAAATCGATCGATAACCACCTTATTCAAGGTATTAACAAGTGCTCATTATGAACACCATCATTGCACACATAGTGCCATAGTACACAAATTATTGGTACAAAAATGCAATAATGCATTAAACAAAATCGATCGATAACCATCGTACTCAAAATATGTCGAAATGCACCTATGACCCTCAATGTACATACAATAGGTTGTTAAATCCCAAAATGAATATTAAACATTTATTCTAAAACACCAATAGATGTTAAATAAAGTAAAATAAATCCAATTGTTTTAGGGCAGGTCATACCCTAAAATCCTTCAATAAAATCATTTTCATAAACTTTATGAAAATACTTCAAAATGCTTTAAAACATGCTTAGTAAAAAACACTCGAGATTGACTCGTTGCAAGTCATCCTCATATCATATAAATACATAGTAAATACACTCACTTTAACACTATTTATACAAGTCAAAATATAAGCCGCACTAAGCTTTAAGTTTGATCCTCTGCTTGAAATTCGCTTCTATAAGAAGTTCATCATAATTTCGTATTCTGGCAGTTTGCACTACTTTTAAAGAAATATTATTTTGTACTAAGCTACTCACTCAAAAATTATTCTGTTTATACCAATGGAAGATAGACTCGAATAAAAATCAAACCATATAAGTCACTTCTTCTAGTTCAATTTGTACAATTTATAATAAATTTGTAAAGTTGACTTACAGAATCTGTTTTCTACTGCCTTGTTTTCTGACCTATTCTTGATTAAAAATTCATATCTTTTTGTATACTCCTCAAAATTAGTAGCTGTTTCTTTTAAGCAAAAATAGATTGATATGAAAATCCAACGGGATAATATTCATCCTCTAATAATTTCTGTATAATTTATGGTGATTTTCTAAAGCTACTGTTAAGAACATAATTTCTAGGTAGATTTTACCAATTTGCATTTTCACCTTATTCACTAATTCTATTAGCTCACCAAATGAAAAAATATGCATGAACCACAAAACACATAAAAATTAGGAGTCACTTCTTACCATAGTAACTCTATCACTAGCTCATCGCAAGTCAATGTTTGTTTGATAACATAAGTACAAATTAAATTTGCACTCACCTGGTGTCCTAAGCATGCAAACATTCCTTAGAGATTAACATTTCATCCTTAAAATCCTCCTTACCTTTAATGATGCTTGATATTTTTTTCAATTACACAATCTAAATGGGCACCATTTCAAAACATATACAAATTCAGACCACATATTAGAATCTTACTAACATAGGCACACATTCGAAAATAAATTCCTAAAATTCTTCCAATGCTCATTCGATACTAATTCCATATCACAACATAATTGTTGACCATGACACTTCCATTGACCATTGAAATTCCATTTAATCCAAATTTCACATAACATTTTCACCTAAACTTCCAACTTTTTAATATTTGTAATTTAAGCCTAAACTTTTACCAACATCCCAAAATAATCTAATTTCACATCCTAACTTCAATTTCAACACTCAAACATTAATTTCCAGCATATTACATCAACTATTGAACCATTAAAAATAGATTCCATAATTTTACATAATTGTTGAATATGTCCCCCAACTTTTATAAAATTACAAAATGGTCCCCAAATTTTTTCTAATGCTTATAGCACACTTCCTACATCATTTCTAGCCCCTAAGTAATTGTCCATAACTTTTCTCATCCTCAAAATCCAAGGATGAATAGTACAAGTCTAGGGTTCCATGATTTCACTTGGTTTTGATTCAATTCGAGCATGAAATCAACCTTTATTCAACCTTATAAAATCTCTACAATCAAAGCCATAATCAAATTTCATCAAATCACAACTTCCCCTAATTTTTAGGGTTAGGCTAAAACTACAAAATGCATTTCTAGGAGGTTTGATCGCGATTTAATCATCAAACAAGCTTGGAAATGATTTTACATCCTCAAAAACCTCAAAATCCATCATCAATTCCATAAACCCTAATATGAACATAAAACATAGAATTTAGGATCTTTGAATACAAGCAAGATTAGCATGCAATAATAGTACCAAATGATAGAGCTCGTCGAATAGAATAATTTTCTATTTCACGTCTTAATCCAAAAACCTAATAAATTGGCTTAAAATGAAAATTAAAAATTCTCTTACCTAGGGTATGAAGGCCACAAAATGGAGGAGAAAGACGACAAGCTTTTCATGAAATTTTGGTTAATTTCATGTTAATTTATTATGTATTTAAGCTTAAATGAATATAAAATTCATTTAACGAGAAATGACAATTTTACCTTTAATAAAACTTGATAATTATCCATACCAAGCCACATGACCTTTATCATCTTTTTAAAGTCAAATATGAACAAAATATTTTACCATTTTCTAATATAACCAATCAACTTTCCAAAAATTGCAATCTTGTCACTTTGATCCAAATGTCTAAATTAAACATGGAAACAAGTTCTCAAATCCAATGGTCCATATTATTTTCCATCATTTATCAATAAAACTTTTCCAAATTTTATACGCCTAATTTATCATCCTTAAAAAATGTGGAAATAATATTTTTAAGACTAATTTATCATTCTTAAAATTTCCCAAAATTTCTATTCGACCTGATTTATTGAATTCATACTGGACGTAAACCATTTCTAGTTTTTAACATAAATGCCGAATTATGAACCTGATCTCAATAAAACCTCACTTTCAAGAGTAAAATATCCATTTATGGATAAAAATTCATTTTCAAAAATTTACCAATTAATCCCTAAACTTTTCCAAAATTTATACTTTGGCTACTAAGTTTTCAAAACTTATATTTTAGTCACTAACCAAAATTTTAGGGGTATTACAATGTATCCTAAGTTATCTCAAAGGTACTTTATGCCATGACATTCCTTTTCACTCAGCGCATTCACTCCATCTCACTGCTTTTGTCGATGTAGATTGGGGTGGATCCTCTACGGATGGAAAATCCACTACCGATTATGTTGTTTATCTTGGTTCTAATCTCATCTCATGGAAGTCGACTCCTCAGGAAAAAAAAACTCTCATTCTTTTAAAAAGTTGAATATCGCGCTATAGCAAATGCAATTGCTGAAGTACTTTGGGTTCAACATATACTTCAAGAAATTGGCGTAGCATTAAACAAACCACCATCTATTTTTTGTGACAATCTCAGTGCCACATATGTTTGTAAGAATCTAGTCTTTCTTTCTCGGATGAAGAATTTTGCACTTGATTACTTCTTTGTTCATGACTTAGTTGTTGCAGGTTCACTGCTAGTTCAACGCATCCCATCCAAAGCTCAAATTGCGGATACTCTCACCAAACTGCTTGGACAGAATCTCTTGTGCAAGATTGGTGTCTTCGATGGATCCTCTATCTTGCGGGGCATATCAAAGATAAAGGTTAGATTAGATTAGATTAAATTAAATTAAATTATTCGATCTAATCTAACCAAATCAAATTACAAATTATAATCAATTTAACTATACCTTGTATGAATCTTACCTTGTGTATAAATTTAAATTCTTTTGTAATCTTATATATACCTATCACTTGTAAATTTAAATTAATCCAATATAAAAATCCTTTACAATCAATTAATAAATCAGGTTTAAGTACTGCTTTCATTAAATTATGTTTTTGAAAAATTATACTTAAATTCACTTCAGATTACTTGTTTGAATCACCTGTGATTCAAGTCATTTGGATCCGTTTAGTTTTGAGTTTATCTTAAGTTTGACTTTGAATTAGATACACTTAAATTGTTGAGGGACTCAACTCAAAATCGACAAGTTTAATGTCACTTCACCAGGAAAAACGGTTGGCGTCCAATGCCAACCGACACCTCAATCTTCTTTTGCCTTTGAAATCGCATCACACTCCCACTTGGCAAAACCAATGTCCATTGATTTTACATTCAATCTTTATTGTATGAAATGGGTATTTTGCGGACCATGTCAATTTTCACGGTTAAAACTTGTCAAATTATTAAGAATTTTTACAACAAATGTTTTAAATTATAATCATCCCAGATTAATCCAAATGAAATGCTGTGTTCTACTCAATTATATTACATTAATACGGATTCAGGGATAAATAAATATAAGAATGAATGGATATGAAAATTAAAATCGATAATTTTTAAAATTACATGAAATAAGTGTAAACAAAGGTACAATAAATATAAATAAATTTTAAATTTTGTAATTATTATAAAATTACTAACATGTATCTAATTATTATATTTACTTGCATTATAATGTTGTACCCATGCAACATAGATACTCAATGAGAGCACGAGGCAAAGATATGATGGAGACATACCTATATAATCTCAAAGTGCATATTACATAATTAGATAAAACCATATTCAACTCGTATTATTCAAACGTTCATAAGAATACAACATTCAAATTCAAAATGCCAACAATCCTTCGTGTCATCCGGAACGAGGTGTGTGCACAGAGATTATTACCATCTACATCGACCCACATGAACCAAATTAATAAATAGATAAAAAAAAAAGAAAAGGAAAATCGATGAATTCATAACCTAAAACTTCAAGCTCCAATAGTCTCTCGGTTCACCTTTCAAGCTCCGGCAATCTTCTTATTTGGCTCGAATACATACTTGATAAGAGACTCCTTAATCGAAAGGAGCTCGGGGAATTCCGTCTTCAACTTGTTGGCATCGAGCTCGTTGTTGCTCCTTGGGGCGATGATAACCTTAGACTGCTCCTCAAGATTGAAGTTCTTCCAGGTGAAACTGGGGTCAATGTAGTCCCTGTACATCTCTAAAATCTCATTGTGACTCACCACTCCAGGGTTTGTGAAGTTCCAAATTCCAGTCAGGTTCCTCTTGCCCATTTCGATGGAAATGGGAAGAAGTTCGTCGAGGATAGTCATCGAGTTAGGGATGTTAACCACCTTATCGTATCGGGCGATTTTCGTGATGAAGTTTCGGGGATTGGTTAGATCCGATGAAATAGGCATCCTAACTCGCAATGTACACACATTATCATAATTCTTGAGCAATTCCTCCACCTTATTCAATCATCAACAAAGATCCATTATTAGAACAAAAGCACAATTTCAGATCTAGATGTACTAAACTACAACAAAAAAAAGGCAAACCAAGATTCAGGAATCCTTGCTAAAATACTATAATTTACACCCAAATCCAGTGCGATGAAATACCAACATATGAAATAAGCAATGGATTCAGAAACATGAAAAAAATCATTTTCAATAAAGATTAGAACTTCATCTCATGTAAACCTTGAAACAAACAATGGAAGTTCATAAATCTATCTAGTATAAACAACCCAACAATATTTCCTTGAAATCAAAAGATCTGAACAAACCTAGGCATTTACAAATACGATGATATCTACATGAGAAATAACAGATCAAACTAACAAATAATTAGATCTATTAACATTTTTGAAGCTTGCTTACCATGGCTTTGGTCTTGGAATAAAAGGAACCGGTGAAATTTGGAGCATCCTCTTCCTTAAACCCGATACCCGATCCGATCGGATGAGCCTCATCGTACTCAAAGATGCAGCCCGTAGCATAGTTAATCAAGATGAGGCCTTTTTCTCTGCAAACGTCGGCAAGAGTAAGAGTTCCGACCACATTGGTTCTGATGGTCTCGGCCTTATGGGATTCGCACCAATCGACGTTCGGACGGCCGGTGACACCGGCGGCATTGAAAACATGGGTTGGATCCACGGAGGCTATGTCCGACTCAAGAGAAATCCGGTTCTCCAATCGGCCTAAGCCGTACACGTAGTCGATTCCCTTGGATTCGCAGAGTTTACCTAATAAGCCGCCGATCCAACCGGTACGACCGTAGATCAGACACTTCGATGGTTTCTCCGAAGAGCCATTAGCCGGAAACCCCATCACTTATTTATTATTAGTATTATTTGTAGGTTTCTAAAAGAGAAATGCAGGGTTTGAAGTTTAGGGAGTGAGCACTTGGCATTTATAGAGAGAAATAACGATGCCATTATTTTTTTAGGCAAACTATGTGAATAGTCCTAATTGTATTCGATTTGACTAGATTTAGTAATCAATTTAAAAATTCAGGATAAATAGTCCCTAGTATTATCTATCTATTCGATTTTAGTCATCTGTTATTAACTTCCGTTAGTTCTTTAACATAAACATTACGTGTCAATTAAAAAATACAAAAGAATTCACATGGATTTTCGTTTTCTTCTTCTTCTTTAATGTCTTTTCAGACCTTCCTTACCGCTACCAACCTTGTCTTAAACCCCTTCCTCCATCTCATTAGGGTTTTCTTCACTAGAATTCATCACTTTCGTAGTAGGCGATTTGCTTCAAGAAACAAAGGAACGAGGTATAACTTTGTTTGGAAAAAAAACTACGAGCCAATAACGATGATGGTGGCGGTGGTGCAGGAGTAGGAGGAGATGGGTACTTAGAATTTATTGTATGGAGACTATATTTATGAGTGAAAGCTTTAATATTACCATTAAAGAGCTTCCTACTATATCCTCCAGGCTGACTGAATTGGATTACCATTAATTTCTTTTCCATCCATTTCTCTTAAAGCCTTAGCCATATCCCTTGCATCATAAAACTCTAAAATTTTTTGTGTTCTCTTAGTTTCTTCATTGGCCCTAAACAACAAAGTTCCAAATTTTAAACAAAGAAATAGACAACTAATTCCAATGGACCAAAAACCGAACTAAAAATGGAAATTTAACTCTAATCGAACCTTTATTATAGACAAAAAATTAGAGGTCGAGAAATGAACGGAAGCATACCATAAGCTTGGAAAATTTCTTTGAGTTTCGAAATTTAAATGGAGGGGTCCAAATTGAAAACCACGATAGTTCCTTGATTAATCCCGTCGAGAACAACGTTATTCGCCAAAAAAAAATGAAGTGCGCCCGAAAGGGTCTCCCCACTACGAGTCCACGAGCGTTGGGGTTGCACCCGACAGATGCAACGTGCTGGTCCCAGACCCTGGTTTGCTGTTGCATGTGCTGGTCTCTTATCTCAATCAACACTTTCTCAGCACGTCTCAGGTTGTAGAAATGGACAGTCACGGTCTCTCCTTGGATTAGTGGCGGATCTAGAAATTTAACAACGGATCTAAACTTTTAATTTTCTTTTCTTAAAAATAATGGAGGTACAATTTTTTTTTCATTTTTCTTTAACATATTATGCTAAATTTCACTTTTTCTCCTAAATAATGGGGATGCACTTGGCCCCTATGGGACTTAGTGTAACACCCATAACCCGTATAATTATACCTATATAGATTATAGATGTCACCCGAATTTCTTAAAACCATTTCCACTTTTACAAGTGATTTAAAATTTATTTTCTTAAAATGGTAATTGATATTATAAAAATATCATATCATATAAATTATGTTTCATTATAACGAATTTAATTCAAAATATTTAAAATTATGTTTTAGATGTTTCATTATATCATATCATAAAAATAGTGAACAATACTGCTACAGTAACTGCTACAGTAACTTTCAAAAATTACATATAAATCTCATAAAAATTAACCTTTCATCACTGTAAAAATTTTCAAAATTTATTCAACAAAATAAATTGAACATGTTTAATTACATGCCACTATCTAAATCAAATTTCATCATAGGATGTCTTACTAATATTGCAATATACTCCTCGATGCTTGATTCACTTTGAACTCTTTATTCCGCTTTTTACCTACGCGTGAAAATCATCACACGCTAAATATATACTTAGTGAGGCAATTAAAATAGTATACAGTGCAATACAATTCATGCATGAATTTCAATGTCCATTTCAAAATGCCATAAAACCATTTTATTTGCATATCCAATATTTTACCATTTATTTACCATAAGCTCATAAGCTTATTTTACCAATGTACTTGCAATTTATCCATAAGCTCGTAAGCTTATTTTACCATTATACTTACCAATAATCCATAAGCTCATAAGCTTATTTTACCAATATATTTGCCATTATACCATAACAATGTACCATAGACAATAACCATAAACAATAGATAATAGCCCAATATACAACCCTGAGGACCCTAGTTACACGAGTCAAATATAAGCACCGTAGTGCTAATCCGTATGACACATAAGGTCGTGTCCACCATCTGTACTATGTATCCTAAAGTACAGTCCCGTATGGCACATAAGGTCGTACCCACCATATACACTAGGTATCCTTTAGTGTATCCCGTATGTAGCCTGCTGCTGGACTCTATGGCATGCCAACTATACCCTATCCCTCAATAATTGACTTGGGCGTACAGTCTATTTTATTTGATCCATCCATGGCAAAGTATATTATCAATATTTAACATTGGGCAGTTCATACCCGAAAACATTCATGGTAAAATATTACATTTTTCATGATCAATGCATTTTGATTTCATACCATGACATTTCAATGTCATATCAAAGTTATATAAAAAAAATGACATATATCATGCTGATATAAATAAGGTTGACTTATCGCAAGTCTTCCTGATGATGTATAAAACATCTATGTATAATTTCATGCATGTATTGCTCTCACCTTAACACTTTATATCTTTCAAAATATGTGCCTCACTATTGTCCACAATATACTCTTTTTATACTTGACTTGCTTCAATCGCAAATCAATCGTGATCTGTATAAATCACAAATTCATAATAATACATATGTTAGTATTATACTAACATAAACATATCCCATAACAACTCTATTTCTACCAAATATTAAACACTTAATAATTCCTTTTAATATTGGAACCAACCTTTCCAATTTACACAAAATGGTCCTTCACCATTTTATTCCTTAAATTCTTAATACCAAAATTCCAGCATTGAAATTACTATCATACAAATGCTTTACAAAGGCATACTTACATTTAAGTACCCCAACTATGAAATGTTGTACTTAAATCACAAATCCTTTCAAACTTCCAAAATAGTCATTTTTCACATATAACACTCATTTAAATTCCCAAACAACAATTTCCAGTGTAGTACATCAACTATACAACACTTATATAACAACCCATCAATTTTCCAGAATTTACGAATTTATCCTCAACTTTTCAAAACTTACGAAATTGTCCCCAATTTTTCTAAGGCTTGTAGAATACTTCCTTCATCATTTCCAACCCATATATAATTTTTCCATTATTTTTCTCATTCAACCATTCATGGCCGAAATTTAAAGAACAAGTTCTAAAAAGATTAAACATGTTCTAATCATCTTTCATGTTTGAATATGAATCTACAACCTCAAAAACATCAAGATTCATCATCAATTTCATGAATCATATCATGAACATAAACCCTTAGATTTGGGATCTTTTAAATCCAACAAGATTAGAAAGTAATATTGGTACCAAATGATAACGTTTTTCGCTTAGATCACTTTCCTATCTCACGACATAACTTCAATTCCAAAGGAATTAGCTCAAAAATAGAAAAATAAATATTTTTCTTATCTTGGAAGCTTTCTCACGTTCTTGTGCTGGAGAAGATGAACACTTTGGCATGATATGTTTGATTGATATCATGCTTATATCCTTTAATTAATCATTTAATGAATATTAAATTCATTAAATTGGTTAAATACCAATTTAACCTTAATGAAACTTTATAATTACTAAAGAACCTAGATACTTATTCTTATCTCCTTCCAAATCAGAGAAATATCAGCTTTATCATCTTATAATAGTCAAATATAAACCAATTAGTCTTTCACTTTACCGTTTTTCCCTTGCAATTTCCAAAAATTGTAATTCAGTCACTTTAATCAAACAATTCAAGTTAAACATGAAATTAAACCATTAAATATTATTTTCCAACATTTTAAAATGTGAAAATAATATTTTTCTTTCTTATTTTCGTGACCCATTTGTAATTTTTTCAAATTTACATTTTGGTCCCTAAACTTTCCAAAGTTTATACTTTGATCACCAAACTTTACCAAATTTATAATTTGGTCATTAAATAAATCCATTTATGAAATAAAATTCTTTTTGGGAAAAATCACCACTTAATTTCTTAAACTTTTCCCACTTTTCTACTTTGACCATCAAACTTTCAAAATTTGCTTTTTGGTCATTATCTAAATTTTTGGGGTATTACACTTAGTGCATCCGCCTCTGTCTCAGACCCTTTCCAAACCCAAGACCTTGAAGAAGAAGAAGAAGACCCACATGAATTTCTTTTAAAATTTTTAACTGGTGGTGAATTTCCTTTTAATTTTTTAATTGCCATGTAATACTTTTATTAAAGGGTTAATGAGAGTTAACGGTTGAGGGATTAAAATTAAATGGATCGATAACGTTAGGAACCATAATCGAATGGATTGATAATGTTAGGGACCATAATCGAATGAATCGATAACATTAGGGACCATATACTCTTAATTTCTAAATTGATGACCAAAGTCGATCATACAAAAAACAAAGGGGACTATTCACATAGTTTACCCTTATTTTTATACAAATATATAATTTTGGTTTAATTATATTTTAGTCTCTTAACTTTGTTGGAATTTGATTATTAAATCTCTCTACTTTTACAATGTTATTAATAGGTCTTAGTTGATAACACAAATAAGGGAAGGAACAAGTTGATTACATGTCATTAAAAATTAATAATGATATTGACGTGATATAATATGACATTTTTAATTTATTTTTCAAATTTAATGTCATTATTATTTTATTATTTTTATTGACTAGTAGTGTGTCACCACCATAACATCTTAGAGAAACAAAATCAAAGAAAATTTTACCAAAATTAGGAACGAGGGTCAAACGCTTGGATTCAATCCTCTCTTGAAAGAGGGTTAGATGCTTAGACAATTAAGCTAGGATGATATATATATATATGGAAATGGTCAGTCGACTACGAGGAATAGTGATGCCAAGAAGAGAGAAGTTGATG